GAGTAGTAGCACAACATATTAATACCCTTCTTTTTCCTGTATCATTCAGATAGTCTGAGGTATTTGTTTATTCTGTAACCTCATCAGAAAAGCAAAGGCTTTTCTAAGACAAAAAGTCAAGTACTTGGAGACAACTTAAAGAACTGACAGCAAAGACAGTTTTTCTACCTTCAAGTGTTTAAAAATCCCAGCTGCTATCTTCAGGCTTCTGTGAACATCTTTTGCTTCATCTTCTGTTATACTAAGAATACAGAATGAATCAAAGAAATTTTAGTTAGAAGGGACCTCTAGGTGTCATTTAGTCCCACCTCCTGCTTTGGAGCAGGACTATCAACAACAGTAGATCAGGTCAGTTATGGCTTTGTGTAGATGAATCTTGAATCTTTCAAGAATGGAGAGTCCACTAACTCTCTAAGTAACCTGTCCCACTGCTGTGCTACCCTCACAGTAAAGAAGTTTCTTACAGCGTCCAATCATTAAATAATCAAATAGAACTCATTTGAAAAAAGAAACATAAGACCTTGTAATGACTTTCAAATAAAAGGTAGCCTTGGTGTTAAAAGCCAAAGCTTTAGAAATCTGTAGGGCTAGAAGTCAGCAGAGCTGTGATTTTGAGAACCTCAGTTTTGTACCTGGACATTTAGAGCAGGACTGATGAAGGGTTTATTCACAACTGATGCTTTCTCTATACCACAGTCACGTGGTACCAGTACACTTTTTTCACAGATGCAAGAAAGGACTGAAGTGCACTTGGATATTACAGCCCATGAATGAAGGCCAGCTGCCTCCTTGAACTCCTACTGTCTCAGCTGAACATGCGTTGCAGCAGTCAAAACGCAGAACCTGCTCAATTTTTTGGTGGAATATTGCTGCAATGGAATTACTAAGAAAAGAAAAACACTTACTCTTCTTTTCCAGCGAGTCTTGATGCATATTTTGTGTACCACAGAGCTACATTAAATCCCATGGAAACCAGTTCAAACACTGCATCCTGCTGGGCACTAAAGAAAGGCAGACAAAAACCCCCCAGACAAAGCCCCACACAATTTAATGCTCTCCATTTTGTTCTGACAAGCTCTCTCTGCTGATAGTTCACATAGCATAAGTCGACATTTCTCTCCATAAAATATTTTTCATTTAAGAAGTCAACAATTTCCAATTCAGAATCTTCTACTTGCTGAACTGCCTAAGAGAGACTTCAATTTTTACTTATTCCCTTTAAGAGTTCATAATTATAATTTCCCACATTGAGATGCCTACCCTTCATTTGGGAACTTTTATTTTAAAACAGTAACTTGAGATTTGTTTAGCTTTGGGTGTGGCTGACATTTTTCCATCTTTTTTTTTTTTTTAAATTGCACATTTTGTGGAAAGCCTTGCTCTGGAATGTCTACTTTAAAGTTTTAGCTGCTAAGTTAATAAGTCAGAGTCTATTACATCTCCCTCAAGTGAATGTTATTGCAAGTATTTATGTAACTGCAGTCAAACAGCATGTGCAAATAGCAGGAAAGCTATTTCAGAAGCTAAAAACATGGTCTTTGAAAAGAGTGAACTTGCAATCACAAGCTAAGCATAGCTTAGGAAGTAGTAATCTTTAAAAAGAAAGGTGTGGGAGTGGGAAGAATAATGTTGGCACAGGAACAAGTGTGTATGACCATGAGAAAATCAGAAGAGAGTCCTAATTAACAGATTGTCTTCCAAGGGGAATAAAAGCTTTGAGGAAGTCGAGCACTTCTTCTAGATAAAGCCTGACAAATTTTTAAGCGTGGTTACACAACAAAATTACCTACAATAGCAGGAGATGACTGAATAATCCAGAAGGTTACAGATCTATATTCCTATTTAAAACAGAAGCTTTGTTTGTTTGTACCAGGAGTACGTGTACTAGGAGCTTCAGAGGCCAAGAACAAAATCAGATCTTCAGCAACATTTGTACTTCAAAAAAGTCAGAAGATACTGTGCTAAACAAAAAACTTGTAAACTGTAGTAACTTATGTTATCATATTCAATTCACCAATACTCTCTAGGTTCTTCTTTGTACTGCTCTAGCCAACTGTAGATACAGTTTGCAGAACAACTAAGACACAATGGATCCTTCTACCATTACCATGCGTTATCACGCCCTTACATAAAGGCAACACATGCTTCAGAACACCTAACGCAGTACGGCAATGATCAAAAACGCAAAGCAACAAGTTTTTGGGAACTACTTTGTGTTCAACATTTTGCTACACTTTTCAGTTTTTCTTCACGCCTGTGCTGGCAACATGTGCATATACGTAACAGACCAGAAGAAAACAGCTGCATATCCTGTAATCATAAAAACATACATACTTTGGAACTTGTCCTTGCAATGTGTCTGTCCACTTGAAATTCTGAATATATCTCAACTTGCATTCTTGGGAAGAGTCATCCAGTGAAAGGATAAAACCTATAGAATAAAAAAATATACCAACAGGCAATCTCAAAGTAAGAAACTGAAACAAGTAATGAAAAAATGGGGATCAATGAGAATACAGATATAGATAAAGGAATGTTTCTCAGTGTACCACTCAAAAACTCGTATTACTTCCTGAGGCTTTTATTCCTCAATATCTTGAGAACAAGATGTGGAAAAAACCAAACTGACTACTACAAGAAACTCCTTGCCCAGCAGGTTACAAATTCAACCCTGTGAGTCTTGATTGCTCAAGGAAAACTTTGCAGATGTCTGCATGTCCCGTACCGTGACTAGTTGGGAGTTGGACTGAGCCAGGTATGGGACAGCTGGAGCTGCTTGAGGTGAGTGAGTGACTGTCCCTGCCACCATAGTGGAGATCGGGAAATTCCAGGAAAAGCTGCCTGTTCAATAGGGAGAGGGAAAAGGGCTTGTAAGCATGGACTCACCTAGTCGTCATCTCTTTTGTCTTCAGGGCTACAAGAAATTGGTTCTTTACATCCAGCAGCCCAGAAAGCAGCAGTCAGTGAGATGAAGCTCATGCTATGAGATGTTCAAATGCTGGTATATGCAGGCCCAAGGCATTTTTCAGGAGGAGTAAGACGGGCCTTAGTCTGATCAGGTCTTACAGACTTCCAGAACTCAAGACTTGCAACAGCAGCTATTGGGCTATAGCTTTAGGTGCTGTCACGTGTTTTGAAAGACAGAAAATACTTGTTCCTTTCACATGCAGAAGATTTTAGTGACCAAGCATGATGCTTTCCTGAAGAAACTCTCCAAATCTTGTCTGCAGCAACGTGGACTGTTATCTTACCTTTATCTAGAATGTCACATTAGGTTACACCCTCCCAGAGACTGAGGGAACTACACCAACTTGAGCTGCTTCACTTCCCACAGACTGAAAGATCACAGTTTCCAAGAACCAGCTGATTCCTGAAAACTCAGTCCTAACAAACTTGTCTGAGCACCTGACTGCTAAAAGAGAGTTATCAAAATATTGGCAGGAGTAAGGTTTCAAGAGAACACATCATCAGAGGTGACCATCTACTGAAAATGTATATACTATGCTAATGAGCACCTATATATACACCTAAGACAAGGAGCAGCAGAAGTGTAAACTTGCAACAAGTCTATCATCTAGCATTAGACAAACCAGAAGTTTACACTGAAAAGCAACTCCTATCAACTAATTAATAGACTCAATATATACTTAAGGAGCAATTCACCACAATCTAAGAGACAAATAAACATTTTCTCCTCCAGCAGGAAGCAGAATGAGGTTAAAAGCAAGAGGGCAGGACTGCCAACACTCAGTACTGGCAGGGTCAGAAAGGACACTGAAACTTGTAAAAAGGGCCTGGCAAGTACCCATGACTAATATCAAGCATAGAACCCATTAAGATACTTTCCTTCCTGAGAAGTGCAAAGCTTCTTTACAGAAGATACACATTCTGAGAAGTGTCATTAACTCCAATTATATACCTCTTGATGTATTAGCAGTATTGCTAACAAATGTTCCTACCTTGCAAGAGTGAGAAGTACAAGTCAGTTGCATTCTTCATCATTTCTGGATTACAACTCGAGTCTGTAAACAGCTCCAATAGTCGTGTTCGAGATAACCTCAAATCACTGTATGAAGGGGGGAAAAAAAGAAAAAATAAACCTAAGAAATTCTACCCAAAAACGTACTATTAAGAAAGTACCCACCCATGTATACCATCATCCTTTTGGCTAAGAAAGTGAAGCTAAGTATTTGATTTAGCTATCTGAAGGCAAGAAAAGGTACTTTATGAGGAAGATGCCAATAAATACAGAAAAATCTTCCTTTCCCCTCTGGATACACACAACCGACTCTTTAGTTTAAAGTACAATCCATTTTGGATGACAGCAATGGATAATCAGTACTCATTATCAATCTATTGTTCTAACACAAACTAAAATAACTATGCCTTTATGTACCAAGAGGTTGAGTGCAGGGGGAGGGAAGAGAAGTAACAAGCAGGAACATTCTTCAACGTTAGAACAGGATGAGCGTATGAAGAAATAAGAATAGATCTGCAAAATAAGCTGAGATCTCTTTTCATTATATTCCTATCTACAATAGAACATTCATGCCTTATTCACTTATGGAAATTACTTTAAGTAATCTTTTGCAGAAAATGCACAGTCATCAGAAAGACAATGAAATGTTTAGTCTTTTGCCTCTGCATTATTATAATAGGCCTTGAAAACTGACTCCGAGACTTGAAAACTGGATAATTCATTCTTTGTAACTAAATGTTCAGTGTTATGAGTGTCTTATTGTCTGCCAGCCTACAGGTTTCTAGTCATCTTCAAAAATTGAAAAGTAACCATTACTTTTAAGGATGTCCTCCAAACTGTGAGAGATAGAGTGAATTTAATCACAGGTACACTTACTTGCAAACCTTTGTTGCAGCTGGAGTGGTAGCTACCCCATAAAAATTGAACGAAACGGGAGCTGTAGCCTTCAAAGGGTTGCGATGAAACCAGTGGGTCATTTTCTTTCTGTAGTGTTGTTTATGCCAAGTCTAAGGTGTGGAAAGAAATGAATAGTTATAGGAACAGGTACAACTGTCATGCCCCTCAGCACACAAAAATATATTCTACATGTAAACAATTAGGAAAGAAATTAATTTGCGAAGTTGTATATACACAGAAGAAATTAGATTTTTTTTCCCCATTTGAAACACTAAGTTTTCACAGGCTTTGTCTTCATCATCCACGTGCTTGGTTTGAGAATTTCACTCTGTTGAAATATGTATTTTTTCTGAGGCAACTATCTGAACTAAGGCAAAAAGCTATAACCTTCTTTGTTCTATATTATTGTATACTTTCTTATTCAAAAAACCACAACTGTTACCTCCTGCATAAGGCTGAATATTTCCCACGTCATTTACAGGTATATCTCAATTCACTGAGGTCATTATGTCTGGTCAATCTATTAGTAGCTTTTCTTGTGGCACCACTGATACAGATTACACAGTAACCCTGGCTGAAAACATGGATATGTTTACATACACGCAACCTGAAAATTTGGTAGAGTACAGCTAAAACAGCCCATCTTTTCTCTTTTACCTCCATTTCAGAGAACATATATAACACAAGCATTCCAAGGAGATGTTTTTACAAGTTTTCAACAGCAGTGCGTGGTGGGAGGATGAAACATAATGGGCACACGTTGAAACACGGGAGGTCTGTACTGGATACAAGGAGAAACTTCTTCACCATGAGGACAGTCAAACTGAGGAACAAGTTGCCCAAAGAGCTTGTGCGGTCTCCATCCTCAAAGGATTTCAAGACCTCGCCAAATACAGCCCTGAGCCACCCGGTCCGGCCCTGCTCTGAGCAGGACATTGGACTAGAGACCCTCCAAGACCTCCATCATCTGATGATCCGTTTGGAATCTCTTAAGTTCATCATTACAAAACACTCTGCAGCTTTGCTGAATAAAGGAGATCTGCCAAGCAGCGACCCCCTGCCACCGTCCAGGTCCTCCTGACCGAGCAGGTGACATCATGACAGTACCTATCACGACATCTTCACCCACCTGCACAGAGGAGAGGTGCTGTCACACGGCTCAGTCGCACCCAAGACGGGGGGCACTTTGGCAGACACTTAACCAGAGATCTTCCGTGTCCAAACCGCCTTCACTCCCCGCACCCGAC